CCGCATACCACACCACTAAATGGTGGGATAATGCGAACAAAGACCAAGGAAGAGGCTTAGATGGATGAAGCGGAAGAAGGAGCAAGGCTTGAAAGCGGATTAGCTAGGGCGATGTGAAGCTGTGAAAGAAAATCTCCATCATAAAAAAAAGGAAATCAACTTGGTAAGCAACCTGATTCTTTCTTTCACCCTACTGGTTAGTCTTGCCCAGGGAACAATGCTTTACGGGGAACCGGGTTCTCCATCTATAAGCCTCGTAATAATGGCTGTTAGTTGCTCTCAATGACGAAGTCTCGAAACAGATTCCCAATGCCATCTCTCGAATAAGAGTTTCCACGGGTAAGACTCCTGCCTGGAGTTACAGTCACTAACGAGAGAGTTGCTTACTCGCCAGACTACCGATGCCGGAGAGTTGACAAGATGCCTGACTTCGACGGAGTTGAACCAACCATTATCTAGAGGAGGTGCCGAGAGAACTGACCGATAGGAAGAGATACAGATAGAGATAGGTATCGGTAATTCCGTTGCTAGGCTTTCTATCATGGGCGTGCCAATATTAAATATAGGGGCCTTGAGCCTGCTTCATCGCTTTGGCCTTGAGCCGGATAAGTAAGGTAAGGACTTTGCCTGGTTTTCACTCCTAAGGCATTTACGCCCTTTGATTCTTATAGCCGGAAAGAAATCCAATTGCATCAATAGCTGCTTTTATCTCCGCATTCACTAAACGAAATGCTTAACACATGCTCTTCGGTATGGGTAATTCCCTCTGTGCTCTACTGTCTTTTGTTCACTCTTTAGTTGACATGGAAGCTTTAGTGCCACGTTCAAGCTCAAAGCTGTGAAAGCAAGTCAAGCAGTACCAGATGCTGACGAAATAGCGGCTTAAAGAGATCCATCTTCTTGAATTTCATTCCTCCGCAACTTCTTGGAGTACTTGTGCAGCCCTATTCCCATCAACCAGAGCTGGAGCCACCTACATGTTGTATATGACCGGGTTCAGTAAATGCTTTTAGAAATTCCAAGACTTCATTAGCATCTAGATCCATATCTGGGGCGATAAAGGCAGACCAGGCATAATTGCCAATTAATAATGAAGGCAGGTATTGTCTGAATACATTACCTAACAGATGCAAACGGAACAGCTCACCACGGCTCATTTGTGATAGCAAATACCGCCGGGCATATGAGTTAGGCTGATTTAATCCTAGCGGATTCAATTTATAGACAGGAGGAGAAAGAAAAGAAAGGAGATAGAAGGTGATATAAGCTGTGAGCGATTAACAACATGTGAGGGATTTGCTTGAAGATTCCTATGTCTCTCTCTTACAAGCATTTCCCTTACTTTCGAATCCTCTCTTTTTAGCACTTTAAGTGCTATTTCAGCAGGATCCAAAAGGGGTGGCTCTTTCAAAACAAAGACTTTTACGGAAGGAGTTGCAGGAGGAAAGAGTGGAGACATCATAATTGGATTCCTATCAGGCACTCTTGGACTGCAAGGCCCTATCTTGAGTGATGGGTAACTGCCAATAATAGAACGATTACATGGACGATAAAGGATAAAAGAAAGTGAACTGCCACAAACAATTCCAGGGGACTTAGGTGGAATTGAACCAGTACGTACTACTCCAGGCACCTTTTGGAGCATAGATGCTGAAGAGTAATTATTTTTACTATAAGAAAAAGGGGATTGGTGTGAAAAGATGGAATGCATGGAAAGATCTAACTATCTGTCAATGTGTTTTCATTTTCGAAGAAGACGGTTGCACTGAGTTACATTCTTCTGCCTTTTCTTCTTTCTTGGAAAAGACTTGCCTACATATTCTGTTCCACCTCGGAATCGGAATCACGCCCCTGT